TCGAAGAAAAAGTGTAATTTTTTTTGACAATGATAAAATTTGTTTTACAAAGAAATTTCTTTCGCGAAAAAACTAGACCTTTTAAGTCACTTATTCAGAAAATCTAAAACATTATTTATAAATTAGAATAGCATATATTCTCAGAAACACAGAAAATATTTGTAACTGAAAAATAATTTCGATTATCGTATAGTATCTTTACGAATCTATCATTTTTGAAGATAAATATTAATTCCATTAAAATAATGCTGACATTTTAAAAGATAGTATGGTTGAAATCAACAATTTATTTTAACGCTCAGCATTTTTTGCTGATAAAGGTGAGTCAATAACTTCAATTATCTATTTAAAAATATTTTTAAAGATATGAAAGGATGCACATGCTTTTTGTTTCGAATGTTATTATTATATTTAAAATGTATTTTTTCCCCTCATGGAATATGATGCATTTTCAAAAGAGATTTGCAAAAATAGATATGAATCGTAAATATAATTCATAAAATTTAAACTTTTTTTATGAAATTTTCTTTTAATTTAAGTAAAAAACAATTTGGTGCCATAGATGAGAAATTGAATGTAATTATATGAGCTGAGCAGAACAGAAAAAACAACCATATGCATTGTTTAAGCATTTTAAATAAAAGACAGAGTTCAGACTCTATTGATATTGCATTTAAAAAGGCAATGTTCAGATTCTATTATTTTTGCATTTCAAATGCAANCTAATTTTTAAAAAAAAAATTGTTTAATCTCTTATTGTATTTGAAAAGATTAGGTATTTTAATTTTGATTTAAAGTTTAAGATGGTTTCATGTAATGATTTTTAATTTGGTTAATTTAAAATAACACATTTTTGAGCATTTATTTTATTTTTCGATGATAATAGAATAAATAGTAACAATTTGAAATATTCAATTACATATTGTTTATATTTATCCAATTTTGTATACTTGTTTTTGGGTGATTGTTTTTGAAAATGTCTTTCTTTGTATTAAATTTGAAAAGTAATTATTTAGCTACTTAATTTACAAATTTTATTGTTAATTAAATGTTATTAAAATTGATGATTTTAAGGTTAAATTCTGGCAAAATTTACATTTATGATTTTTTGAGTAATTGTAATCATAATTATTTCAATATTTTATATTAATTTGAGTAAGAATTCATGCTATTTTTATTTTTTTTGATACAATAGTAAACTACTACCTACTTGGTAATCAATTATTTTAAGTTTCATTTGCAATATTTGTTTCAAGTAGATTCCTTAAAGAAAAAATATTGAAAATATTTTTCATTATATATAATTTATATGGTCAATGAATTCGAAATCTCTTTTGTTTACAATGTTTAAAATAAATTTTGATTATACATGAGTAGTAATTACAACATAACTATTATCCACAGTAAATTTTAGTCATTAAATTCTAATTTTAACCAATTAAGTGTTATCATGCTCGAACCAATTGATTTGCCAAATGTGGCAGGGGTTAATAATTCAAATAAATTTAATTTTAGTATACCTTAAATTTTAGGTAATTCTCAAAATGTTGAGTGGTGTGTTGGTTAGATTAAAGATCTTGTAGCACTTAATCAGTTTACTGATGCGGCAGTATTGCATATTTTGAAAAGAAACCTTTGTCAGGCTGCTCTTTTATATTTCCAAAATTCACCTGAATTTAGGACGATCAAAAAGTTTGATGAGGCTTGGGAAAATTTTTTGAATTTCTTTAAACAGGAAGAATCTTCTTTTGCTGCTAAATTTCAAGTTATTAGCCTTTTACTATCTGCGCTCATCAGGGCTATTCTGCCTAAAAGGCATATAGTTTCATCCACAATGAAATGGCCTTATCAAAAATTAAAAATTTACTGCTTATCTGCACTATTAACCTCCGCTTATTCCAGTTCAAACTGGGACTTTCCGTCCGAGATGTAATTAATGCTGGAAATCTTAAAGGTAATGGTTAAGGTAATTCCTCATTCACTAAACCACCCACTATAAATATTAATAATTTTACGTTATCTAAAATGCACAATTCAAATTTGTCAAACAAAAACTTTGTGTGTTGAATGTTTTCTTCATGTGCTGAACTTCTGCATTGTAGATGTTTCTTTTAAAAATGACACATACCCACTTGAAAAAAATAAAAATCTATTTCTCATCTAACATCTCAACATCTCACAGGCTGTATTTTTTTAAAATTCTCCTTGAAGATTTTTTGTGGTACTGCTTGAACAATATTTTATATGAATTTTACAAAAAAAAAAAAAAAAAAAAATTGCAATTGCGTTATTTTTATATCTCCAAGGCCTATATACTAATTTTTATATGTATTCGCGAGTATTAAGCAGTGGCTAAAATAGTTAATGATTTTTGAAAGAAAAATTTTACAATTCCTTTTACAAAAATGTGTTTTTATATAATAATATAATTTGTTTAATTTTTTTAAATTGTAAAATTACCCACTCTAGTTAATTAATACGAATTTTCAGTAATTTTCTGCAATAAAAATTTTATTTATGGCTGGTTTATACGAATTCTGGATCCGGCTCTCAACGACCGTAGTACTAATGTAAAAATATCCTCAATGGTAGACGTACAATGTGTTATAATTCCTTTGACGCTGGTTAACCGTGAGAGGTTTTCGTAGCTTTCCTCTCCATGTATCGCGAATGTCAAGCTAGTTCCATCGAAAAATCCGGCACGAAGGCTAGTTTGTCCCAATGGATTCCGGAATTCCGGAATTTTCTTTTTTTTCTGAGTTGGGTTCAAAATTACAAGGCCACGTAGTTAAGTATTGATAGTCGTAAACTCATAATTGGGTCGGCAGTTGCACGCTGTTTTTCAAATAAATTAAATCTATAGTCCAGTAATTAGAGCAAAAAAAGAGATGTTTTTGCTGAAAAACTGACCAAGATATTTTTTTGGCCGAAAGCTTTTCCGAGTCATTAAAAATAATACATAAAAACTTTCTTCCTCTCCTCTGTACCTTCCCCTCTTTTTGAGGGAAATGGGGGTGATTTAAGGGAGAGAATTGAATGTGCTCTGGACAGGCAATTGAGACATTGCTTCTCTTGTACCTTTTCATACTTAATTGCATGAACAATTCACTTTATATGCTCGAATTTCCTTAGATTCCCTTGACATGTAAAATCACATGTCAGAAGAAGTATTTTTAATAAATTGAAACCCTTCCAAATTGTGAACAATTCGCTCCATTGGCTTGTGTATCATCACTTTCATTTTAGCATAAAAAAACACAAGTTATTATAAAAATGCAAAGCAAGCAATGTCTCACTTGTTTACATAACAATGTCAGGTGCGTGCATAGGTAGAATTGCAAAATTGAATTTTTCTGTATACGAAACCCTTATAACTTTTAAACTAATAGTTTGCTCGTCTCAGATGAGATTTTATTAATTTAAGCATGAAAAAAATACATCGAAAACGATGTCTCATTTTTAGTTCTTCTAGAAACTTAATTTTCTTCCTTAAATCACCTACATATCTCTCACAAGAGGAGTAAGCGTTCAGAGGAGAGGGGGGGGGGGGGTTACAGGTATAATTTATAAGAGCGTAGCAAAACTTTCTAGTACTAATGAGTACTAATTGTATGAGTAAAATTGAGTACTAATTTTTTCGAAGAAAAAGTGTAATTTTTTTTGACGATGATAAAATTTGTTTTACAAAGAAATTTCTTTCGCGAAAAAACTAGACCTTTTAAGTTACTTATTCAGAAAATATGAAACATTATTTATNGGAGATATGTATTATCACATTACAGAGGAGTACCAAGGGTTACTGTATAAAATTAAAAACTGCTATTTTAAGTATGGAGAAAAGCCAGTCAGATTAATATTTTTTTTATTAGGGAAAGGAGCACCAACTCAACCCTTTGATGCAGATGGGACACTGGTGTCCTTTTTATAGAATTATTTTCTTATAAAATAAAAATAATTTTCTTATAAAATAAAAATTATTTTCTTATAAAATTATTCACTCCTAAAATAAAAATGACATATAATTTTATAAAAGCGACAGTGTCCCTTTTATATAATCATTTTTTCACTCTTTTCCAATTACAATCAAAAATATAGTTTGGCATTATTTAAAAAAAGCACTCTTACAGTTATTAAAAAATTTATTAGACTTTCGGAATAATATTTGTGTTAAAGTATATAATCCAAAATAAGAAGGTTTTTTTTCATTCGTATTCACAATTTTTTTTATCAATAATTGATTTGTAAATTAGAACAAAATAAGGATAAATTTCTGCTTTGCTTAGATCGAAAAACTTAGAATACGTAAAAATTTAAAAGATAATTGTTTGGAAGTTAGTCTCGTTTCAAAGATTTTGCATTTAACGCTGAAAAAGAAACCTACGATTCATGCTGTATTTCATAACCATAAAATATTAGGATGTTAAATATATTATTTTTATCTCATTTCATCTAAATTAATGCTCAAAATAATGAGAGAAAAAATTAAAAATATCTTCTTCGTCAAAGCGTTACAGCATGGCAAAAAAACCATTTAATCGCTTAAGAGTTAAAGGAATTTCGTAATTTTAGCACTTACTCTTACAGGGTAACAAAAAAATATAGGGATCATTTTTGAATGTTTTTATTTGCAAAATTTATTACATAAATTCAGCGATGGTTCTCAATATGTCGACCTCCAGCATAATAGATTTGTCTAAGCAGATAAAAAATAAGAGTTCTGGACCAGCGGAGCCGAGGAGCCGGCTCCGCAATGACGTCATTGCGGAGTCGAGTTGAGTTGTTCGCCTCCTGCTGCGGAGTGGAGTTGAGTTGTTCGCCTCCTGCTGCTGAGTGGAGTTGAGTTGTTCGCCTCCTGCTTTAGTTTTGGTTTCGGTTTCCAAAATTCCTTACTTCCGGTGGCAACACCCAATTTAGTTTCAATTTTCAAAAAAAGTCATTTACCTCCTATTTCTGCCCGCTTGCTTATTTCTGCCCACTTGATTATCCGCTTTTAGTTTTGGTTTCGATTCTTAATATTATTTTTCAGTGGTGGCAACACTCCTTAATTTAAATTTCTTATTTAAGGATGGCAGCACCAATTTTTAGTTTCGGTTTTCAAAATATGTAGACGCCGCTCGTGGCTCCATCTAGTGATTAAAATAGCTACTAATTTAAAAAATATGAATATCTTATATTGGTGGCGCCATCTAGTGAATAAAATATTTACTAATTTCGTTCATTTAAAGTAGAAAAAATTTATTTATTATAAATAAATAATATAAATGCATGTATTTAATTCAGGATTCGAACTCACAATCTCTAGGACAAAATGCTTCCATGGGATACTGATTTGTCAGGCACGCTAACCAGTATCCCATGGACGCATACAGATACAAAGAAAACTTATGGTTTTAAGGAAATAAATTAAGACTCGCTGGCGGTTACGGATAAAATTTTAGTTTCATCTTTTTATTGATCTCATAATGACAAGGCACCACTGACTATTTCTGCCCGCGTTACGAACTGACTACTTTGAATTTATACTTTCAGTTTTGATTTTAATATTATTTTATAGTGGTGGCAACACTTTATTTATATTTATAGGATGGCAACGGCTCCGCAATGACACTTCTAAATTGATGACGTAATGTTACTTTCACTTTTACACGTTACAAATCGTGAGATATCCAATTCAAACAAGATTCAACAAGGTTGGTCTTGGTCTATGACGTGATAGTATTGAATTCAGTTCTTTTCACTGACACGTTCGTCACGTGACTGTTTCAAATTTTCCCATTGGTTGTTGGAGTATTACTTTTTTGAATTTGGCAACGGTGAGCATAGCAAAGTCTTTAATTTCAGTCGTGTATTCATATTTCACTCTTATTCTCATTTTAGTGCTCTGGGTTTTATTCCACCATACTTTGTTGAATGTTCATTTTGTTTGAAATAATTGTTTAAACTTTTTTTATAGCAATTTTAACATTGCATATTTTTCCTCATTATGGACGGAAATATATCTTTAAAGAGAAAATATGCTGAAACTCAAGTAAGTACTTATTTCGATATTTTAAAATTCTATTCTTAAAAAAAAAAAAAAAGAAATACTTGTAAATGATATTTATTATTAGCAATAAGGTTTCTTTAAATAAAATGTTTTAACGATCATAACTTTTCTATTACTTACTGATAGTTTGCTTCATAACGCTTAGCTATAATTAGTATAGTTTAAAATAATTTCATAACTTTAAAAAAATCATAACATGTGCTTTTTTAAAATTAATTATCTAAATAAGTTCAAAGCTTTATTTTAATCTGCACAGTCACATAATAAAATCCAAATATATTTACTGTACTTGTACTATCACATGCTCCATTACATTTGATATCTTCGATGCTTTGATTTCTGTTATTAGTGTGATGACTCAAAACTTTATTTTTATTGTTTATTAGGGTGTAACAAGAAAAGGAATATTCAAAGATGGATGTTTTCCTGACCATGTGTATCCTCTGGGAGACAATTTCTTTCTGACAGTTAGTGAATACAAATCAAAGATCAGCATACATATACGGAGATATAACAAACATGGAGATATGTATTATCCTTCAGCAGATGGAATAACATTACAGCCGGAACAATATAATGTGTGTTTCTCTCATGAACCTCCAACATCTATTTTTGATATAGTAGAAATAAATCTACAGTTAGAAGCTGTTAGTCCTCATGGAGTGAGAGACTTTTATTTACTCATGAGTGATAGTGGAAATTACACCCTCACTCACGAATACACGTGTAGAAGCGGTCGAGTTTACAAATTTCCTACAGACATAACCTTTGCTCAGTGGTCTCAAATACGAAAAATTCGTGATGAAGTGAATACAAGCTTCATTACTGTGAAGTATAAGTGCCGAGACTTTAAAGAAACTTTTAAAATGTGCAACAAGAGTGCTATAAGTGAAGAGAAGCCTGAAAGCAACCGCTACAGTGAAGCTGAATATCTTATGAATCAGTGTCTAAAACAAGTACTTTATCGTCATATAGGACAAAAAAAGGGCTTAAGTCCTCCTATCATAGCTGATGAATTATTGGATTCTCAAGACGTTGTTTCGATATCTGACTTTAATGAATCATGTATGTATTTAAATGTATATAGTATTGCTCACGATTTTAAAAAGGAACTACAGGAGAAGAAGCTTTATCCTGAAAATGTTCCTTTAATGAACTTTATGAATGAACATTATTTGAACGAGATCCATTTGGATCAACTGTTACTAAAAGCTAAAAATGATTTCTGTTCTTGTGAAATTTTTGAGTAAGTTTTTAAATTTAATAAATGTTATTATGTTTCTATTATACTGCTTTTTTTATTCACTCTATTTGATACTGTCAATATTTAATTTTACTTACCATTTTTTTAATTATTATTAATATTGCTTTATATTTCTATTCCTGGTGCGATTTATTTTTATTGCACATTCTACATTTTCTTATATCATATTCCGCAAAGTCTTATTTAACAGTGACAATGAATCAAAATTTAGCTAGATTTTATAAAAATCCTGAAACTCCAAATAGCTTTGGGGGTGTAGAATCAATACATCGTGCTATAAAAGGTAAATATGATAGAAAAGATGTTAAACAATGGTTAATGCATAAAGATTCTTATACACTTCATAAACCGGTTAAACGTAAATTTAAACGGAATCGAGTATTAGTAAGTGATATTGATCATCAGTTTCAAGCTGATTTAGCTGATATGCAATCCTTGTCTCAATTCAATAAAGGCTATAAGTATTTGTTAACATGCATAGATATCTTTTCAAAGTTTGCATGGGCAATACCCTTAAAAGATAAGTCTGGAAAAAATGTTAAGTCTGCTATAGAAATTATATTTGAAGAAAGAAAACCTAAAGTGTTACAAACAGATGCTGGTACGGAATTTACGAATAAAATAGTTCAGAATTATTTGAAAAGGGAGAATGTAAAATATTTTTCTACAAATAATGAAACTAAATCTAGCGTAGTTGAGAGATTTAACCGCACATTAAAAACTAAGATGTGGAAGTATTTCACAGAGTTGAACACTAAAAATTATATTGATGTCATAGATAAATTAATATACAGTTATAATAATTCTTATCACAGTTCGATTAAGATGGAACCCGCTTCTGTAAATAAATACAATAAGAGAGAGGTATTATATAATTTATACGGTGTCCTAAGAAACGAGAAACCTAAAGTGACTAAATTCAAAATAGGCGATGTTGTGCGCATAAGTAAGCAAAAACTTCACTTCGAAAAGGGGTATGAACAAAATTGGAGCAGAGAACTTTTTAAAATTCATGAAACAGTGAAAAGAATTCCAGTCGTTTATAAATTAAAAGATTTAGATGGTGAAGAAATTAAAGGTACCTTCTACGAAGCAGAATTACAAAAAGTTGTAGATTCAGGTTTCTATCCTGTAGAAAAAGTGCTTAAAAAAAGAAAGAGACAAGGAGTAACTGAATATTTTGTTAAATTTTTGGGTTATCCAGAAAAGTTTAATGCTTGGGTAGCTGATATTCAAAAAGTATAAATAGGAGATCTTGTTTATTACAGATTCATTTTCAAAAATGTCGTTCTATGTAACATTACCTTCTGATAGTTCTATGCGATTCTTTCCTGAAAACAAATTATCTCATTTTAAGACTCAATTACCCGTACCGGTTGATTTAAATGGACAATGGGAAGTCGGTTTGTCTGAAATCATATATCCTCATTCATGGTATAACGTTAATGAAACTAATAATTATTTTCTATACAAAATAAGTAATGGCAATATCACATCGACTGTTAGGAAAACAATTGATGTAGGTTGTTATGAATCAATGTTCGATATTGTATCAGCTATACAACTTTACCAAAAAATCCTAGTCGGTTTACATTACATTTCAATAAAGCTACAAAACGAGTAAAAATTAATGTAGTTGAGGGTTGCAGTCTTCATTTAGAAAAGTTAGGTGAATTGCTAGGATTCCAACGTGATACAATCATAACGGGTAACATGAAAAGTGAGTTTGCTGCTGATGCATTGTCTAACTTTTCCGTGTTTTACGTCTACTCAGATTTAATTTCACCACAAATTGTAGGCGATATACAAGCCCCTTTACTACGAATCGTTCGAATCAAAGGAGAAGACGGGGAAACGATTAGTCAGTATTACGATAGACCACAATACTTACCGTTAATGAGGCATTCATTCCAAACTATACAAGTTGAACTGAGACTCAATTCAGGTGATTTCGTGCCCTTTGAAAGAGGTAAAGTGATCCTAGTACTACATTTTCGTCTGAGGCAAATACTATAAATAGTATACCACAATTAGTGTATCCTCATTTAATGATATAGCCATCAAGATGAATGCACCATATGTTTGCTGCACTAAAAAGTTTGAAGACCATTATGCGGGTCAAATTGGCTCAGGATTAGCTTATTATAAAGGTGTTAATTTCCAGAAGGGTTATGGAATCGGAGGGATATTTCGTCGATTATTTAGAGCAGCATTACCTTTTTTAGTAAAAGGTGGTAAAACTGTTGCAAAAGAAGCATTAATAACAGGCAGTCGTGTCGCGTCAGATGTATTGTCAGGAGAAAATTTTAAAGAAGCACTAAAAACAAGAAGTAAAGAAAGCGGAAAGAATTTAACGCAAAAAGCCCTCGATAAAGTACAATCAATGGTAGGGAAAGGAGGATATAAAAGAAAGCGTAAGAAACAGAAGAGATTCATTTCTTCCAAAGCACGTAAAGTGAGTGGACGCGATATATTCGACCCGTAATAATGACATTTCTATTGAAAGATTCCCCCGAATGCGTGAAGTCTGAATTGGAACTTTTTAATTTACCCGGAACTCAAACAGTTATTCAAGATGGGCAATGGATACAATTTCATCCACTTTCTAACGTTTTCGATAACGCACCTGTAGAGTTTCACATTTCTGGAAGTGGAGAAGACTATATAGATCTAAGTCAAACACAACTATATGTGAAAGCGAAAATAGTAAAAGTTGACAATACATCTATTACTACAAATGATACTATAGGACCTGTGAATTTATTTCTACATTCTTTATTTTCTCAAGTAGATGTATCCTTAAATGATCGCGTGGTTTCTAATTCAAATAATACTTACCCTTATCGAGCGTATATTGAGACTCTCTTAAACCATGGATATGATAGCAAAACTTCTCAATTAACAGCTGAATTATTTTACAAAGATAATGAAGATGGACTCAAGAAAAGAACTGAATTTTTTAAAGAAAGTGCTGCAGTAGAAATGATTGGCTGTATTCATTCGGATTTATTTTATCAAGATCGTCTCTTACTTAATTTAGTGGATTTGAAAATAAAATTAATACGAAGCAAGCCTGAATTTTGTTTACAAGGATCCAAAGGTTTTAAAGTTGTGTTGGATCATGTTTCTTTATTCATTCGAAAAGTTCGCGTGAATCCCGGAGTTATTCTTGGTCATGCTAAAGCATTGGAGAAAACGAGTGCAAAATATCCTATTAATAGAGTTCTGTGCAAAGTGTATTCGATTCCTAAAGGGAGCATGTCTTTCATTCAAGATAACATATTTTCTGGACAAATGCCTAAAAAAATTATTGTAGGATGTGTAGAAAATGATGCTTTTCATGGAACATTTTCAAAATCTCCCTACGAATTTAAACATTTTAATTTAAATTTTATCGGAGTGTATGTGGATGGACAACCCGTACCACACAATCCTTTGGAACTTGATTTTTCTCAAAATCAATATATACGTGCCTATCAAACTCTATTTGTTGGAACAGATCGAATGGGCCAAGACAGAGGAATATTTATTTCCAGAGAAGAATATAAGAACTCTAATACATTGTTCGGATTTAATCTTTCACCGGATTTATGTTCAGGAGAACATTTAAACTTAATAAAGCACAGTAATTTACGATTAGAACTAAAATTCAGTCAATCATTAGAACATACAGTATGTGTTATCATTTTTGCTGAGTTTGAAAACTTAATTGAAGTAAACAAGTCTAGAAATATTTTGTACGATTTCGGAAACTAAAGAATGGATGGATTGCAGATGTTTCATATTTTATCTAAAGAAAAGATGACATCCCCTTATTTTCGAGGGGTGTATTCTATCGACACCCTACCGATTTTACAAGAAAATTCGTGTGCGATAATGAACTCTGATGAATCCTCACAACCTGGAACTCACTGGTTGGGTATATTTATCAATGAGAAGAACGAGTTAGAATTGCATGACTCCTATGGCAGACCACCCAGCTTTTACGGCATGAATACATCTCCTTACTCAGCTGTACAATGGAATTCTAAAATATATCAATCACTGACTTCAAATGTGTGTGGTCAATATTGTATTTATTTTCTACTTAAACGCTGTCAAGGCTATTCTATGTTTCATATTTTAAATCAATCGTATATAAATGATTTTCGAGTGTATCAATTTGTAAAGAAAAGATACGGTGTAAGATTTGTGTTTAGAAAATAAAAATAAAAAAATTATAAAATTTAAAAATTGTGTATGTTTTCCTATTGTTTCATCTTTATTTCCTTACTTTAAAAAAAAAGAAGAAAGTCTAACATTTTCATTTGTATTTTAAAATTATTATTTTCAAATTATATATATCTTTATATATATAGAAAAAAAAACTATTTTCGAAAAAATTTATGCTTAAGAAAAATTTGAAAATGATTACTTAAGAAATTATATTCAATAAAAATAATATTTATATTAAAAAATTTCATATACAAAGGAAAAAAATTAGAAAGGATATTATACCTAAGAAAAAAGTTTCTTGAAAGGAATTTGTTTAAACGAAAATCTATAGCTATTATTTTTTTAATATTTTTACATTTCACTTAAGATATTTTTTCTAAATATAAAATTTTTATCTGAAAAGAAAACTTTGAAGATGATGATAAAGACAAAATGTTTAAATCAATAAATATTTATTTTATTTTCTAAAGTTTCAACCAGGCATTTCTGCGAGCATACATTACAGGTTTCTTGACAATTTTATTTTTACTATGCAATTTTTTATTAACGTCTAAATGTGTCGGTAATTGAACATCATTTAAAGTTTTTAAAAATACACTCCTCCCCACTGGAGCTGATTTTCTATTTCGTAAAAAGTCATTTATAAGATTTACTATATTACTTCCTGGAACTACTTTATCTTCATGAATGATTTCACCTTTATTGTTCCAAAGGAGAGACTCATTACTCTTTAAAAATTCATATAAATCTTTAGCTTTTTCTCGAAATCGAGGTGGAACTACAGTTAGAATTTTTTCCTCCAAGTCCTCAGTTTCTTTCTTGATATTTGAGGAGTCCTCTTCCGCAGACGCAATTACAGGATCCTCTTTATTTGGAATTTCCTGCTCATTCGTTTGAGGTTCTGGTTTATTCGGTTTCGAAATTGAAAAATGCGCATACTTTTGCAATATTTGTAAATACAAAGCTGCTTTCTCGTGATCTGCTAAATCCTTGTTCTGTAGAATATTTTTCATTTGTTGATCCAATTCTGATAAGAGTTCTTGAACTTGAACCCTGTCTTCTGGAACTAATACAAATTTCCTACTGTGCTCCATGAATTAAAGAACTAATAACTGATATGGCAGCTGGTAATAAAATAGACAAAAATCCTTCCCCCCTTTGAATAATAATTTTCTTTTTCTTATATAGGGGTATTTTCTTGTTTGAAAGTTTTCGCAAGCTTTCTTTAAAAGGGTATAATCGACTTTTTTGAGTTTTTGTTAAGGCAATGTTTCCACACAACACGTTTAATACACACTCACACAAAGTTCTTATCTCACTTTTTGAACACTTTTTCAAAAGAGACTTTGAATTTTTAGTTTTAGAAATTAATTTTAAGAGCTGTAAAGTTTGTTCAGTACACACTGACATCTTGTAATCAAATGAATGATGTAATTATTATTCGAGACTATTTATCATCCTCTAAAAACCTTACAAACGCTTTCACTTTAGTGAATGCGCACCTTTTAAAATTAGAAGTGTGAAGAGAACACGAGTCTGAATTTATACTTAATTGATCAATTTTCGGACATCCAATATCTTCTAAATTTTTACAAAATCTACCGATTAAAAATTCTATAAAATTCTTTTTCTCAAGTCCTTTAACGTATATAAATGGAAACAAATTGGATAAAAAATTTAAAATGGAATATAGTTTATTGTAAGGCAATTCTCCTTCTCCCCATTCTATGCCGTGAATGTTTCTCGTCACCCATTTGTACTGAAATTTCTGATGAGGTAATAACTTTTCAAAAGAATGCGGTGGCTGAAAAGTAAGTATACCCGTCATTTTATTATTGTTAACCGAATGAAATGCTAATTCTTTCACGATATAGCCCCCTGAAGGTAATTGAAACCCCTCGAAATCTATAACGACAGCAGACATGTTACTTTCACAAAATCGTTTGCTTTAATAAAGTTATCGGGGCTGGTATATATAATAAGTATCTCCAGGAAACAGTCCTGTACGCATGCGTAAGGAGTCATCTGTATCACTTTTTAAATCTATTAATAAATAGGAGTATGGTTTAGATGTTGCATCCTCAAAGCTTTCTTGAAAAAATTTTGATTTTGACGGATATAATTGTCTCCCTAAATGAGCTACTTGCGATCGATCTCTAGGATTTTTAAACAGTACTAAGTAGTGTGAATTTAAAGAGATTTCCCTCATTTCTTTCCCTTTATGAAAAATGTTTTGAACAATGAATATAATTGAAAGGTTTTGGTGATGTGATCCCTTTGTAAACATTTTAGTTAATCTTGAATCGCTTCCTAATTCACTCATTAAATCATCTACTACAATTAAAGCATCATTTAGTGTATGAATATTAGAAGGAATTCCTTCATAAAATGTAACACCAGGCATTTCTGTATAAAGTTTTTGAAATACACCATAACACCAAATTACATTTTTAGGAACAGGTTCAATCATTTTATAATTAATTATTTTTTTAACAAATTCTGTTTTTCCACACCCTGTTGGACCACCTACGATCATCGTGAAGGGCGGTCTTAAATAAATAAACTCCATTTCTTTTTTCTTTTTTTTTAAAAAGAAGGAAAGTAACAAATAAATTGAATTTAAATAGTGTAATTGTTTGTGATATCCATAAAACATATTATAACTTTATTTTAAAAATAAGTCTGCTACTTATTTCAGAATTTTTTTTCCAATTAAATTATTGAAAGCAATATCATGTTAACCATTAATCAAATTTTACAACAACATTCAACAATTAATCAAATTTAACAAATTTTATTGTTGAATATACAAAAAAATTCCTTTCTACACTAAATCATGATTGTTATTGAATCAATTTTACATTTAAAACATAACATTCTTCATGGATTAATATGCTATACATAATTTCAAAAAGAAAAGTATCATTTACATGAATAGTAATTATTCTTGCAAAGAATAATGTCCGTGAGGAAGGGTGTTTATTTTATTATTCAAAATAACACGCTTTTCATCACGTGAGGATAAGGCTAGTTTATTAGTTGTTACCGAGAATATGTCATGTTTCTTCGATCGAATTAAATTCATAGAAGTAAAAAGGTTTCTGTCTTCAAAAAGACACTTTTCATAATCCTCGTACGTTATTTTGTTTTTAATGGCGGATTTTTTCACTCCTTTCAGTTTCTTAGTTTCTTTAGATCCTATACGAAATGTATACATTTTTGATCGAAGACCTATAAAATTAGTCATTATCCTACCTTTACATTCGTCTTTCATCTTTCCTAACATTTTTTTATTCATTAATGGCATTCCATACTCATTATCTGGAGAATAATCAGAAGTGTCATATAGATGAACACTATCTTTCATATCAAAATAAACATTAGAGGTTTTTATGTCGTATATAAAACTATCCGTGTCTATGTACAATAATTTAATTCGATCATGATATTTTGGTTTCATTTCGTTGTAATGGAAACTATACATTAATGTTTTGGAAATTTCCATTATACACATACCGATTACCATAGGTTTATTGAATTCTAAATGCGTTTTTCGCATATGAAAAGCTGCAAGGTTTTCACCAAATATTGTTCGATCCTCAAAGTTTGGCTTCGCGATAAGTTTATCCGCCTTTCTTCCATTATTGCATAGTTTAACATTAACACGATTTCTTATATTTTCCATAGTTTTACCAAAAATAGAGTTATTCATTAACTTGTAGAAATTTCTTTGGAATTCGCTCTTAGCTGTGGATCTTTCATGTGTGTTTAGGTCTATATAAGTTTTTAACCAGGGGGCTTGTTTAAATTCTAATACTCTATGAACTTTTTTTAGTTTCATTCCTAAGGCTAAACATTGCTTTAAATTTCTGTAGTGCATGACGTAATTATTTTTATCAAATAGTGTGGTGATAAGTCGTCTTTCTCTACATCCAGGAGGAACCCTACTTTCAGGTGCCAGTGGAAGATCTGAATGATCATCGTGTAAGTTTTGAGGATAAATCAGATCCACCTCGAGAATGTATCCTAAAGGACTTTCATCTGAAATTTCTCTTACATCAATATCAGCAGGATTTATCCATTTAAAATCACTTAAAGGCAAGCTTTGGGACATAGCCCACCCGTAGAGATTATTTGCGTCCAAATATAACAAGTAATTTGTTGGTAAGTTTGCATCATAATCGAGTATATAGGGATTATTTGCTTTTCCATATCTGTGGGAGCATTGGGAGATTCCGCCCCTTATTCCTTTCTCAACAAAAAGAAGCATATCATAATCTTTTAACAGCTCTATTTTTACATCTGTCATCTTTAACATTGCATCCCAAGAGAGACCAGGGGAAGTAAAATACCAGGAGGGGTCTAAGTGATATGTTTTTAAACAAACTTTCCGGATATTTTGAAAAATATCCGTTGACAACAGAACATCAGTTTTTAAATATAGATCCGAATATTCACCCATTGTTTTAATATTAAAAGTATTCCACACGCGTTTAGCATGCTCATAATCCTGATCGGAAATTGGTACTTCGTCTAAGTGGTTAAAAAATGCATCTTTTGAGGGGAGTGACGTCTCATCAAATTTTTCTACACAATTCATGTAATCATAAGGGTAAACACCCTTCCTCAAAACCAAATCAACCTTATCTGCAGGAAAGAAATTTCTTATTGTGTAATATTCATCCGGACATAAATTCTTTGCAAGTGTATCCAAGCTGCTAGGTAAGAATCTAAAGGTATCTAAAAATCTTATTTTGAAACCATTTTTAAGTTTCTTTGAAAATGAGATATACTTCTCTGTTGTCTGCGGAATTACATCAATGTCCCCTTCATCTGCACCTAGTTCTGTGATGAAAAGGTGGCTGTCATATCCTGACAAATTATGTAAAAAAATAGGTAAAAAGTCTGGCGTCGTGGCCTTTAGATTGCAGTTGTTACAGCTTGCACCTCTATAAAAACCACTAACGTGACAATGGTCTCTAACCTACAATTAAATATATAATTATTAAACTAAAAGAATAAGCGCATGTTTGAACTTTTCTAAAAAAATAATTTCGTAGTAATCCATACACTTTTAAAAGTGCTTCATTTGCATACACGAATAAATTATAATTAGTTATAGTAAACTAGAGCAATTATTTGTTATTATAATATTTTAAACTATTTTGAGTAAATTTTAAATTATAAAGTTTATTTCAAATTATAAAGTTTTTTTTCAAATTATAATGATTATTTGCAATTATAATAGGCTATTAAATAACATTAATTACATTCCTAAAACATAACTCGAAATAGTAAAAATTATTTAAATAAAAGTAGAAGATGATAAACTAATAAAACTGTATGAAAATATAGTTACCTTATAATTATCTTGTGTGAATTCGTTTCCGCACATGTAACACACTGTCGCTGCTTCATACTTTGTAAGTTCTTCCGAGGTAAGAACATGCATAGCCTTTGGATTTTTGTAGATGTTTTGGACTGTATGCGCAATTTTTTGTACTTCAACAAAAAAGACTTTAGCGGCATCCATCCCTCTGTATAAAATTGGATCTCTAAAAGTTCCATCAAAAGAATGAATGTATAGGCAAAAACTGATGGGTTGATGTTTCTGGTAAGCATTTGTAAAGGATTTTGCACTGTTTGGCTCGCAAGTGTCAATAGGCGTCGTGATACATTCAAAGTCTGCGTATCCGACGAAAGGTACCTCGAAAAGATTTTTAACGTTTTTAAAATATACATATGGATCTTTTGGCATTTCCACTCTTACGGCGTCATGACTGCTACAGTCCTTTTTATGCTTTTGAAGTGTAGATTCTGTAGTAAAATGAAGCAAACATCTCCTGCAAATAAAAGTTTTTCCATTGTGCTTGGAAATTTGTGAGCTGATAAGTTTCGATAAGTCTTTAATCCATGCGAAGTGTGTATTCCCACTTTCAGATAAATAAAGGAGATCGACATGATTTTGTTTTTCGTCGTCGGTAATGAAAAGCGGAAAAACTTTGTTTTTTTCATCTAATCCATACACATTTATTGATATGTTGTTGTTCTTTTCAAATTTTCTAACATCTGTTAACTTGACAGGAAAATCTATACCCGTAAAGTTCAATTCTTCAGTGAAAGCCTCGTAAGATGATGTACGATCACTGTGATCATTTGAAGGATATAAAGCTGAAAGCACAGCCCATTGAAAGCATTTGTTATCTCTATTATTCACATTTATGATTGCATGCTTATTTTTAATAAATCTGGGTAAATCTATGTATTGGGAAGCGTACAAAGGGTTGAATTTGTTTATGCGAATTTCTAAATAAAGAATCTCGCTTAGTGTCCATCCACTTCCTTTTGATTCGAAATCAGTAGTTTCAGATAATAGTTTGTCTACAACATTGGTATATAGTTCCTGCAGATCTGTACTTAAGAGTACAACAGTGTTTTTAGTTTTAAAGTCTTTTTCTTCCGTAATCACTCCACCGTCAGAAGCTTTCTCATAAATGCAGAGAAAAAAACAGTTTACTTTTAACTGATTTTCAACCAATGCTTCTGATACGGAATCAATAAATACTTTCCGTTTTGATTCTAAATAGTCTCTGATATCTAATATCCCATCTGGATTTTCCAATCTAATTGTCTTTAAACGACTTTGAAATGCTGATTCTAAAATCATTGGGTTATCAACATTTCCAATTGGTCTCGCTTTCTTCGATCGAGAATTATCCGTTGTTGTTGATACAATTTTACGCTTTGGTACACGTTCATGTGTTTTCACGTGTCTTGACAAAATATCACTTCTATTAAATGATAGTCCACAAACACTGCAAACAAACGAAGCATTTTCATGCTTTGCTCTGTGATGACGTAAATAATTTTTTCTCGCAGAAAAAGTGGCATCACAATCCTCACACTGTATGCGTTCTTTTACTTCCATATTAGAACAAGAACGATACAAATTTAAAAATAAAAAAAACGAAGTTATCCAGGAGTAAGTCCATAAGCAAACAGCTACATGCTATATACAACAAGCACCTCTAAACACAAATGAACAACGACGAGCGATTCTGCACACAAGTTGTTACAAACTAGTATAAACCGGAATGAGATATGAGTAATGAGTTTTAATTCTAGTTTAAGCAGGAGTAACTTCATATTACACAAAAGAACCCCCAAGAAGCTGATAGATAAGGAACATCCATGCTGTTTCTCAAACACTCACCCCCTTCATTTCCCACCCATTCATATTCCTTCCATATTCAATTCAATAGAATATGAATGGATATGAAATAAAAAGGGGAATGCTTGAAAAGTCTTGAATCACTCATTTGATCTGGCAAGTTATATTATGTATTTATCTCTGAGTAGGGAAAAGATTTAAAAGATGTGTGAATAAAAAGAATAAGATAAAAGAAAGATTTTTTTTTTAATATTTTTTTTTAAATAAATTAATTTAATAAGCGTATTGAGTTCAAAATTGAAAAATATTAGAGTTGCTTTAAAAAGTTTAATGGAAAAAAATATTTAATTACAATTTTTAAGCTAAATTTGAACACGATTTTTTTACACTATAAATTCAATACATATAAGGTATAACTGTAGCGGATGCAGTTACCATTCTAATAAAGTAAAATAAATAATACCCAATGAGAAAAATTTGAAACAGTCGCGTGACGAACGTGTCAGTGAAAAGAGCTGAATTCAATACTATCACGTCATAGACCAAGACCAACCTTGTTGAATCTTGTTTGAATTGGATATCTCACGATTTGTAACGTGTAAAAGTGAAAGTAACATTACGTCATCAATTTAGAAGTGTCATTGCGGAGCCGTTGCCATCCTATAAATATAAATAAAGTGTTGCCACCACTATAAAATAATATTAAAATCAAAACTGAAAGTATAAATTCAAAGTAGTCAGTTCGTAAAGCGGGCAGAAATAGTCAGTGGTGCCTTGTCATTATGAGATCAATAAAAAGATGAAACTAAAATTTTATCCGTAACCGCCAGCGAGTCTTAATTTATTTCCTTAAAACCATAAGTTTTCTTTGTATCTGTATGCGTCCATGGGATACTGGTTAGCGTGCCTGACAAATCAGTATCCCATGGAAGCATTTTGTCCTAGAGATTGTGAGTTCGAATCCTGAATTAAATACATGCATTTATATTATTTATTTATAATAAATAAATTTTTTCTACTTTAAATGAACGAAATTAGTAAATATTTTATTCACTAGATGGCGCCACCAATATAAGATATTCATATTTTTTAAATTAGTAGCTATTTTAATCACTAGATGGAGCCACGAGCGGCGTCTACATATTTTGAAAACCGAAACTAAAAATTGGTGCTGCCATCCTTAAATAAGAAATTTAAATTAAGGAGTGTTGCCACCACTGAAAAATAATATTAAAAATCGAAACCAAAACTAAAAGCGGATAATCAAGTGGGCAGAAATAAGCAAGCGGGCAGAAATAAGCAAGCGGGCAGAAATAGGAGGTAAATGACTTTTTTTTGAAAACCGAAACTAAATTAGGTGTTGCCACCGGAAGTAAGGAATTTTGGAAACCGAAACCAAAACTAAAGCAGGAGGCGAACAACTCAACTCTACTCAGCAGCAGGAGGCGAACAACTCAACTCGACTCCGCAATGACGTCATTGCGGAGCCGGCTCCTCGGCTCCGCTGGTCCAGAACTCTCATTTTTTATCTGCTTATGATGTGTAGTTTTAATGTAAAACTTTTATTTAATTTTAATGACATTAAAAAGTTTCAGTTTGAAAGTTTTTGAAAATGGAACCGGATGCAAACCATTATTGTACCTAAGTGTGAAGTATAAATCAAAATGTGAATTGAATTAAATAATGAAATTCAGAGTCTCATTTCTTGGTATTTGAAAACTATAATATTTTTAAATAAATCATATTATTTTTTTAACAGCAAGAAATCACTGGTAAGCTTATTTTGATAACAATTCAAAAACTTATAAAAGGAAACAACATCGACTCTATTATTTTCTTAGTTGCTTTTTCAAGATATCTTGCTACCGAAGTGTCTCGATTTCAAAATAAAACACATAGAGTAATTCTGGATCTTTAATCTTAATCATAACTATTAAAAGTATAGTCTTCGGGAGTTAGTATTTTACGGTGTGTAAATTCTTCATTCTCTTTCATCTTATATATCTGCTCTGACAGTCAGGCTGCTCTTCTATCACTATCAAGGTGAAAATTGATCTCTTCACTAGTGTGCGAGTGCTCCTTTCTAATCGTAACAAGGTGTACCTACAATGGGTACCTGGACATATTGGTATTCCTGGTAGCGACTTTACACATTGTCGACTCCCAGGCACTTCTTTGGCACCGTATTTTGAAATTCGCCAAGTCGGGTTTCAAATTTTCTCGCGAAAATCTTGGAATACTAATTCGCGCATGTTTCACTTGCAACATACGATTTAAAAAACGCACGAGGTGTGAATAAATTTAGCTGCTTTAAAAGTTTTTGTGTATTATCAGTCTCTTTTTATTCGGACTTTCCTGAAACACATATTTAATTCTTACTTTTTTATTTCCTTTTTAGGATAAAGCTTTGTTGTGGGTGCAGGATATATGAGTAGGGTATAGCTTTTTAATTATTTTTATAAATTTATTTCAAATACTTTATGGTGTCTTTACCAAGTATGTGGAC